CGATGCCTGGGCATGGAGACATAAAGCAATTATAGATGGTCTCCTTTTATGTGTACACAATGGAAAGATAAAGTGGGTTAGTAACATGCATAAATGTAAAAACAAAACCTTGAGAATATTTTTGAGAGAGAGAGAGAGGAATATTTTACAGAGAGAGAAGCTTCCCTCATTGTCAAGCAACGAGTCTCAACTTTTAAGGTGATGAAGATGCACGTGAAGATCCAATCCACTCAAAAGTGACCTTACATTAGGGATACCACAAAGCATCTCTCTCTCATTTTTAACCACGGGAAACCTGCATTTATTGAGTCAATAAACAGTAAGTCCGGCTCCCATAAAATACAAAGAAAACAAGATTGACTTAAAAGACAATTATGTCAAGAAGCTGCAAGTCTTTGATCCGCATTTTTTGTTTTTTTTTGTTTTAGGAGTAATTTCGTGGAGATGGGCTCTTTTATCTGTGATAAAAATGGATTTCAAGATGTCATGTTGTGCTGACAAACCACTTCAACTACTTAACCTTTAACCCATGTTTTTCTTAGCTTGAAATTTTGATATCAATGGCCTAAAATTAAGCAATAAATGATAAAGATGATCGCTAATGGCCTCTTGATTTGCTTAATTGGACACCAATAGTCATCTTTTAGATAGACGATTCTACTGCTGATAGTTTACTTCTTCCTAGTGCTTAAACAGGTGGTTTGAATCAGAATAAGCCCAAACCGGTGGGGCTGGGGGCGGGTGGAGGGCCAATCTGGTTCTTGAGAGCCCCAAATTGTCTAATGCTCTTGGTTTTTGAAATTTTTCTACTTCTAGATGTATCTGCATGAAGGTTCAACCATTCATATTGGCCCAAATCATCGATGAAACCAGGTTGACAGGTAATTGGTTCAGAACCGATTTTAGTTTTTAAATCATCTGGTGTTCCTACAAATTCGGAATTGGCCATAAAGATAGTTAATATTAAAAGAGAAAAGCACATATGTTCCTACTTGGCAGCTGGGGGTCGGGTCCCTTGCCTCCTAAAAGTAAATCATGTGAGCCTCGACTGTAATCTGGGATCCTAAAACACTAGTTTGGATTTGTTTTAATTCAATTAACTAATATTCCCTCATTTGATCATCTTTTTGTAAGGAAAAAAAAGGCAAGAAGCTGCAGTATGATGATGATGATGGTCCTGCTCTTTCTCTTTGTAGCTCATGGGGTAGCAACATAAAAGGAAAGGGGTGAAGTGAAAGTATAGAGACAGGAAGATACATGGAGTACGTGCCAAGAAAACCCTGCAGTTTTGCAAGGATCACAAAACGACCTTGAGGACTTTGAGAATTACTGTGCATGTGTAAATTTTTAGAGGTGTGTTCTCTTATAGATTTTTAGACATGTTGGAGAGAGAGAAAGAAAAACACAAGAGAGTCGGTCTCGGGCACTAAAAAGCTAGTTCTCCGCATGTAACTTTGTTTAGTTTAGCAATTGACGTTTAGCAGTGCCGCATCTCAAGTTCATTTCCTACCACTAAACTATCGAGAAAAATAAAATAAAATAAAATAAAATAAATTGTATGAGAGAGAGAGAGGGGATCATTCCTTTGGGGGCATTAGGCAGTTCATTGTGAAGAAAGAAATAGGGACAAGTGTTTGGTCTCTAAAAGGAGAGTTGAGGTTGAAAGTTGGAAAAGGTTGAGAAGGTACATGCCACCCTCTCCAACTATCCATCCATCCAAATCTTCCCCTCACGTGGGGCACCTCCAACACCTCACAAAACATCACCATTGGATCATGTGACTCTCTTAATTACCGTAAGGCTCCTGCTCTTCTGCTCAAATACCAAGAATGCTATCTGAACTGTTGTATCTATTAGCCATGTGGAAATTTAACAAAATACTTATAGGCATTGTTTTAAAGGACTGTATATTCTCAAACTATTTATTTTTGTTACAAGGAATTGTTACAGTCCATTAGATGTCAATTTGGATGGCTTGGGGTATCACATAAAGTTCAAGATTATTATTATTATTATTTAAACTTTGAGACTAGTTAATGCACACTTACAATCACCTATTTGAATTTGATGTATGTGAATGATTGTGACCTCATTATATTATAAGTAAAAAGTTTGTTTGTATACTTTAATTATTTTAAAACTGAAAAATTTATGGATTGCTATTTGAATGGGAGTTGGTCGAGGATGATCTCGTTCTAGGATGGTATGGGTCACCAGTTCATTTGCCCCCTAAAAGCCCCTCTTATATATTTTCCTTCTTTCTTTTGTTTAAGCTTGGTCCCCATAAATCCCCACCCCATAAACCTCTATTTTAATTTTTTATTTTATTTATTTTTAATATTTTTTGTATCACCAATTCATAAACGATCTAGACCAAATCCGAATTGTTAATCCTACGATTCAACACGGATTTGTAAGTGAACCATCTGCCCACTGATCTAAGTTTTAAAAAATTTCTTATAAGAAATGAATTATTTAATATTCTACCTATTTGCAACTATTCCAATTCAATATCGTTGGTTATGGGTATTTGAAATTGAATAAAAAAACATAGTTAAGGTGTTTGAATTGTTCATCTCCCATGGATAATTTAATAAATTTCTCTTAATCCAATCACAAATCCTAGAAAATTGTCCAAATGCCCGTTACTTAAATTTATTAATGCTAGAAAACCTCTAAGGGAGGAGGGGGGGGGGGGGGGGAAATGAGGAACGTCCAAACTGGGACCACTATTGGTATGCTGAAATAGGTTTTAAAAAAGGGCAGATATAAACAATTGATATGATCATCTTAGAGCTATGATCATTAATAGTATCACCATCCAATCATTTTTAATGGGTGGTGTAGAGAGCAGGACCACGAGAACATGATATGGCCAAAGTGGAAAACCCTCTGCGTTTCCCTACAATACTCTACGGCCACGATAACAATCACGACCATAGAGTATTGTAGGATCATGTATAACTCCCTTGCAAAATTACTCAAAATATGAAGTTGTTATTTGTACAGTAGATCTGGTCCTTGATTTATCAATCAATAAAATTATAAAAAGAAATGCAATTCTTTTAAGAAAGTATGGTTCTCAAGGTTATTGCTCGTCGTAATCCTATTAAAAATAAGAAGAGAAATTATTATGTATGGATCGGTAATATTTACCTGAATTATATTTTGGCCCAAAATATTGGAAATTTTACGCTCAAGTCCCCCTTTCTTATAGTTTTGCTCACCACAACTTTTTATTTCTTTCATTTACGTAGTTTTCGTTGCAGTTTGATGTTTCAGATATCGGACTGATTAATTTCTAGGGCCGTAACTCTGACCAACTCATATTTATCAGTTTGATGCTCCAGATATCAGTCTAATCCATTTATGGGACCGTAACTCTGACCAACCCATATTTATATTATTTTTTGACGTATATCGGTCCAATATCTTGCCCATATTTAAAATAAAATTTAAAATAAATTTGAGTTAGTTTGATATCTCTAACATAAAACTATCCCAATTGCCACCTAACTATAAAATATTTGTTGGGAAAAAACCTCTACGACAAGGGCTCGATCTAAAGAGTCTGAAAAAGCAGATGATATTGTTCTGGAGTCTTTCGGGGGCTATGGTAAACCAAACAATTTTGATGAACGACCAACCATTCTTGTGCAAATATTGGGCTGGTCCAATCCGATGTTAGGGATACATTACAGCGTTTTAATAGAAATGCTATCCCGTAAAAAATTCGGAAAAAATTCCCCACGTGTATACATTACAACATAGGATTTTATATTTAGAATTTAAATCTCATATCTAAAACAATGTTTAAAAAAGGGCGAACCAGGAGTCGCCCGATCCATATTGGAAACTAGTGGGGCCGGTGCGATTCCACCTGAATATCAAGAACCGGATGGTTCTGTCGGTCTCTAAACCAGCCACACCTTTGTTTTTAATCTTTTCAATTTTTCTGTTCTCTAATTTTTTATTGACCAGTTCAGTATGCTGGATCGCTGGTCCAGACCGGCAGAATTGAACCACTTTTCCGAAGAGGCGATCGGGTCATCGCTATTTTAAAAGTTGATCTAAAATTTGAATTTAAATTGAGAGCTCGTCATTTCATCACTCATCAATTGGATTTAAACAGGCTAACGAAATGTCCTATCGACTAGGTACAGATTAACTATCCGTTTGAGGTACAAAAACCGTCGTGTCAATAAAATTGTAGTTATAAGTGGTAATGTTGACCCTATTATCAATGGCATTGTTTAGCATTAAATTGCAACACATTTTCTGTAATAATCTACTAATTATTACAGTAACTATTTTATAGTTTTATAGCCTTATACCTATACCATTTTTCAATAAGTATTTTATAACCTACCACTAAAGATGGAGTTTCTATAAGACCTACGCCTTACGAAGAACAAGCAAAACCTCACCTAGGCCTTATAAAGAAAAAGATAAACCACAATATTACCAAAAAAAAAAAAAAACTCAATTGGAAACTTGATCTGAAAAACATTTTAGACATAAAAAATCTCTATGTTGGCTTTAAAATTAATTTTCACCATCAATTATAAAATTTATAATTGAAAAATAATACAGATTTTATGTTATAATATATACTATTTTTAAGACTTTTTTTTTTTTTTTAAGTGAAGATTGATTTTTATCGATGCCAAAATTAAAATTTTTCGGGTGTTTTGAGGTGAGGCTTTACTTTTCGAAAAAATAATAACGGTGAAAAAATCAGCTCTACGATTATGTTACCCCACATGTCCGTATGTCCGAAGAAATGAAATGGAGAAAACAGAGGTACAAATTTGAATCATTAAGGGTAATTTGGGAACTTACCCAATATCAAATCTCTCTCTCTTCTCTGAGCTTTGAATTACTCCTACCGTTGAAAGGGCGTTCTCAGATCCGTTCATGCCATACACTTGGCTGTCCTCAACGGTCACAATGTTTATGGAGTAAACGGCGCTCTAACGCCGTTATCATTCCTCGCGTTGGGGGCCCTTCCACTCCGGTTGCTGCTGCTGGTCGCTCCAGTAACGCCGTTATCTTTCTCGAAATATCGGACTGATCCATCAATCCTTTCTTAAACAAAAACTCACCCACAGGACAAGGGAAGGCCTGCAAACAATTCTTGAGCTTCCATTTAAAATACAATCTCTCTCTCTCTCTCTCTATCTCTATCTCTCTCTATCCTCTTCAGTTTCTTCTTTGTTACTGGATCATTTCTCTTGTTCAGTTTCTTCATTGGAGCTTGACTTTTGCTTCAGGTTGAGTGCTCTCTCTCTCTCTCTCTCTCTCTCTCTCTCTTTCCTTTTTTTCCGTGCAGCTTTGTTACTGGATCATTTTTTTATGTGCTGGTTTTTTGGGTTTTATTGGCGCCTGAGCATTGTTTCAGATTGAGAATTTGCTTTGAGATTGACGATGGCTATCTTGTCTTTTTATGTGTTTCAAAGGGAAATGTAGCTTACGCATTACTCTGATTTTGTTCTCTGGGACTGTAGATTGCTGCCATTTTAGTGGGGAATTCGGAATTCGAGGGATTTGGGCGCATCGATTGGCTAAGCCTTCATAAAGTTGAGAGTTTGAGATTGGTTTTTAAGAAATGGAGCAGCAAAAAAGAGGAGGTCTGGTTTCTCTCTCTCCTGCTCAAACTCCTAGGTCCACAGAGAAATTGGCTAGAGATCTGCGATCTAATGATGCCAATTCGAGTAAGAATGAGAAGGATAAAGGCGTCAATGTTCAGGTTATTCTGAGATGCAGGTAAGGTATCAATTAAATTTTGGGTTCCTTTGATGACCAATGTAATTTATCAGCGCTTTATAAACAGAAGTCATCTGAGAGTTTACATCGGTTTGGATTGATTTTTGGGCTTCTTTTTGTGGTCAATGTTATGTATCAGTAATCTACAAGACAATCCATATGAGAATTTACAATGGTTTCTCTGTACATTTGTGTTATTTTCTTTATTGATCTTTGTTGAGCATTTGTTTAGGCCTTTGAGTGAGGATGAGATGAAGGTGAACACACCTGTGGTGGTGTCGTGTCATGACCATAGGCGTGAAGTGTCGGCTATCCAGAACATAGCCAATAAGCAGATCGATCGAACATTTGCATTTGACAAGGTGTGAAATCCTATAAAATTTCTCTAGATTTTCCTGAAAAATATGAGATAAATAATAATGCCACTGGTATACTTAACTACTCATATTTGTTTTGTAATTTACATGAAATGTCTGAAGTTTTTCTTCCTTCCGAACTAAATTTCTCTCTCTCTCTCTCTGTCTCTCTCTCTCT